TGGTGGCGCATGCCTTTAATCCCAGAACTTGGGAGGCAGAGGCAGGCGGCTTTCTGAGTTCAAGACCAGCCTGGTTGGTCTATAAGAGCTTTTTCTAGGACAGTCTCCAAAGCCACAGAGAAACCCTGCCTCACAAACAAACAAACAAACAAAAATGTGACTGTTGAATTGCCTGTTTCTTGTACTCTTTCTCTCTTGATTAGACACTTATCTAGACCATTTAACTAGTTAACTTTTAGCTAGTTAATGCTTCCCTTTTAAGGTAAGTCTGACTATGAATGACCTAAAGTAGCTAATAGAAGTAAATAAACCTTAGGGTGGTCTCAGAGTTGGCAAAAGTTATATAGAACACTAAATACTCCCTTTTTATAAAATAATATTTACATTTGTGTGCCTGCACTGGAGGCTATTAAAATTTTTTGTGTTTTACAGGAAGACTATGATAAATATGGAATCCGAATTAGAGTAAAATTTCGCAGTAGTACTCAACTGCATGAATTAACTCCTCATCATCAAAGTGGAGGTGAAAGAAGTGTTTCTACCATGCTGTACTTGATGGCCCTTCAGGAGCTCAATAGATGTCCATTCAGAGTAGTGGATGAAATCAATCAGGTACTGCACTGTGACTCTTTGGGGGAGCATACTGCGTCCTCTAAAAGATACAGATACAATGAATATTGTCATTACGATTTTAGGGTATGGATCCAATCAATGAACGAAGAGTGTTTGAGATGGTTGTGAATACTGCCTGTAAAGAGAACACTTCCCAGTACTTCTTCATCACACCAAAGGTAAGTAAACTCACTGAAGTCATCTGCTCACATGTCCCCTTTGGCTTAATTGTGGAGCAGATTTGGGCTGAGATGTGAATGTGAGCAGGAATACTCCCTAAAAGGAGATAAAAAGATTAAAGCAATCTACATTCATAGAAGGGACAAGTTTCAGTGACATACTTAATGAGAGGCTTCATCTGAAGAAGTGGGAGAGGAGGCACTTCATTATGTTCTAGAACCTAGATCTCCTTGCTTTTGATACTCATTCCCATTCTAGAAAACTTCCTCTAAGCTGCTGAGAGATGACTGGGAATGCAAACCCCAAAACTCTAGCTCTCTCTGTCAATGTCACATATTGCCCCTATCTTTATTCCCACTGCTACCCTAACCCTAAAGAGTCTTAAGTACCCAAACCCAAGGTCTTGTACTGACAGATTTTTATAACAACATAGTTATATTCAATAGAGAGTTTTCCATAATCTAGAACTGTTGCAATGGGAAATACCCTTTTGTTAAATCTAGTGCTGTGGGTAAGTTCTCAAGTAAATGTTCTCAAAGATGTATTTATTACTAATTACTTTTTTCAAGTAAATATTCATATATATTTCATTAGAGAGCCCATCAAAATGTACTTTTTGTACTTAATCATCTTTTATATCAGTTCTGTGGACTAGTCAGATCTGCCCCAATTCTGTTTCTTACCAAACTCCTTGTCTTAGCGACCAAACCTCCCTCACACATTTCACACACAACAGTCTATCACAGTACTTAGCCATAGAAGTTGTTGAAGTGTTTTGTGTAGAAGTGAAAGTGCACACTCTTTTCCAAGGTGTACCTATGGTCCTTGTTGATTTGTGAATACAGAGGATTTCCAGGCAACTGGAATATTCCAGGTCAGTTATTAGGCCAGGCTTTAATTATGCTTATTCAGGAAGTTGTCATAGTTTGGCAAGTTGATGTATTTGAACATATGTAAGGCTGGAAAACTGTCTTTCTGAGTATACAATTTAATTATGTGGCAATTTGTTTCAATCCTTCAGCTTCTACAAAATCTTCCTTATTCTGAAAAAATGACAGTGTTATTTGTCTACAATGGTCCTCATATGTTGGAGCCAAACCGATGGAATTTAAAGGCTTTTCAGAGGCGGCGGCGAAGGATTACCTTCACTCAACCTTCTCAGTGAAAGAAAAGGGAGGGGACTTCAGAGGTTTTCTTTTAACTGTTTATACGTGTGGCTCAAGTGAATAAAAGTTAGCAGATTTATTGAAAGAGAAAGATTGGTTATTTTTGAAAACCTGCTTTTAAAAACAAATAGGTTGATGAAATGGAGACTGCAGTGACTCTAGAACATTTTCTAGTGACAATTAAGTCTTCGGTTTGGTTGAACTTGACTCCTTAGTCCTCTGTGAGCACTGGATGGTGTGTAAAGATGTGTACTGCCCCACAGTGTAGTGGCTCCCGAATCCAGCACTTGAGAAGGAGAGGCAGGAGATCATGAGTATGAGGCTAGTCTGGACTGCAAAGCCTGATCCAAACTGTGTAGGCTGCACGTAGAGTGGGATCATGTGTCATAACAAAAAGGTATTTCCTGTTGGAAATCAAAGGTATGGAAAAATGCGGATTGCATTCACAAAGCATTTACTAAGTGCAGTAGCTCTGAGTATTGATTGCAGGAGAACTTTCTGACTTTCAAACCTTAAAGGCAACTCAGAATTAGAAAAATCCCACTTTCTTCCAGTATTATATTTTTTAAAAACTGATATGGGAATGTCTATTTCATGGATACTGGTTTGTGGCAGTTCTGTTCATTTCTTTGTGTTAAAGATTACCTTATTTTCATGGAAAGCATGTTTATGGGCCTTTAACACTTCTACAAAACTTGATGCTACAATTTTATTGGTATTTCAAAGAATTGGGAAAACATATACACAAGGGGCTTTAAAATGGCAGCAGGATTATAAGAGGTCACAAGGTAAAGATGACAGATACAGCCCAAACATTAACAGAATGAAATGAGGTGTTAAAAACTCAAAGAACAAGTTTTGTGGTGGTGTTCCTTGTTCTGTTTTGGGCTTTTGTTTGTTGCTTTTTTTTTTTTTAATTTAAAATCAAATGTATTTTACATCTTAAATTTCTAAAAGCATTTTTATAATTTAATAAGCTTTTTCTTAAGATTTCATATACGAGTTTTTACAATTTGTATTTGAAATTTCTCAGTGCTATGTAAAGAGTAATAGCAAAGTATTGATTATTTAAAATCATGTTTACAAGATTAATCAGACCCTATATTTTAGAAAAATCTCATCTAAATTCTCCCAGCTTAAAAAAAAATAAAATGAGAAAACCAATTATTTTTCATTGAGGATGCTAATTAACAGTGCCAAACTAAGTCTTGCAAGAAAATAGAAATGTCTTTGAATAGTAGACTGGCCCATATCTCTGCTGGTACTGACAAAATTATTTTTTGACATGCTAGCCTGAATAAACCAAAGTTTTGGTTTTGTATACTATTGTAATTGCCAATG